TTGGTGCCCTTAGCTATATCGCTCCTCTGTTTCTCACTTCTCACAAGCTTTTATTTCTCTCTCCATCCATTGTAATATACAGGCATCAAAGCCCTGTTAATATACCTTCTTAGTTGCACTTGGATTTTCAGAGAATTTACTGTGATAGATCAATGTAACCGAGATGTTGAAATTAAAATCTGAATTGCAGTTTCATTATTTGCAATCTATGTTCCTTTTTTAGAAGAATCAGCCATTCCTTAAATTAATTTTTTTCCATTCCTTTCCTGCAGAATGTAAGATTTACATGGTTTCCTTGTTCAGATTAACCAACTATTATTCCTGTTTATTTAAAACTGGAAGATATCCAAAAAATACAAAAATATTCTGCACATGTAATTTAAGCTTCAGGAAGAATAGGTGAAATTTTCATATTTATTTGATACTTTCATATAAATCTCCAAATTACAAAAGCAGAACAGAATATTCTGCACACCGAGATCAAGGACAGAAACTAAGATTCTTCTGTGAAAAATCTCACTAAAAACAAGTGAAAATCTTATAATTGTTTTCCTAAACCCTGCAGCCCATAAAACTCCAGAAAACCCCCAATTTCCCCTCGACTTTAACCGCATAAAATCACCCTTGTCAACCCAAGAACAAGACATGACACTGCAAAGAAGAACAATGTCACAAAATCCCTAGCAGACCATTTCCTCACCGCTTTTGCCTCCATTCGCATACTCTTGGCTCTCCTCAACGCATCAACCTCCTTCAGCAAATCAAACTCCACGCCCTTCTTCTTCAATTCCTCTACACACTTCCCCAACAGCTTCCCGTCCTCCTTCTCCCTCTCCAACAACTTCTCCAAATGCCCTTCTACATCCATCTTGTACCGGGTGGCCCAGATTATCCCCATGGAGCACAGAAGAGAACAGAGTGACGGGATCCATGATCTGTGGCAGGACCCAGTGGGAGGGTCTCTGGACGAGGAATTGAAGAGGAGAAGAAGCGAGATGGAGTGGAAGAGGAAGAAGAAGATGTAGAGATGCGTGATTTCTTTACGTACTGCATCGATTTGGGTCTCCTTCAGGGCTACTCTGTTGAGAATCAGGTCTTCTTCTTTGAGCCATTGCTTGAGCAGCAACTTATGCGTCGGCATTTCTGCTATTTGGTGGAGTGGGTGTGGGGCTTTCGGCTCCATAATCGACAGGTTCGTGGTCAGATCGGCCATGAAAATGGAAACAGACGCAGAAAGAGATTTTGAGTGGGAAGAGAAAAATATGAAAGATTTTGAGAGAACCAGTGATGAGCACTTTTCGCCAAAACGGTAAATAAGGGCTTGAATTCGAATATTTGCAACGGTCGAATTGGAAATTTAATATAATTCCCGTTTTTCAAGGACGTCCATTGTCGGTGAGAAGAATAACGGAACGTGCTGGCTTTCCATCAAGTATAAACGGTTTGGAGATTTAAATTACCGTGTTGAAATAATGAAATTACACAATTGTCCTCCTCGCTTTCAGCGTTCTGCCACGCTCCTATTTAAAGGTGATAAGTTTACGCTATTAAAATTATGGACACCTAAATAAATATTATAAAATGTACTTACAATAATAACTATAAGGGTAGTATTGGGCTTTTGAATTCATTGACATCAAATCATGTATAAATATGTTTTTTTACTTTTAAGATAACTGTTTGAATTCGATCATTGCGAATTTGTTAAAAAAAAAAAACAATAACTATAAAGGTAAAGTGCATTTTAGATTATGGGTACCATCTTGCTTTAAATTCTTGTGATGTAATCCTTTTTCTCCTAATTTTTCCATGTTCATAAAAAAAAAATGTACTATAAAACAATTCAAATCTAAAGAGTTCTCATTTGTTTTAAATTATTACTTGAGCCAACCCAATGGGTTTTTACTACAACTTCTTCGGGACCTGTCCGTCACATTTTCTTTGTGAGTCAAAGAATTGTTAGAATTTAAAATAAAATAGTAGTCGGCTCAAAATGGGAATCTGAAACTTGACCTTGGTTTGGGTTTTTATTTTGAGCTGAAAGTCAATTAATTTTAGATGATTATCAAAATTGAGATGTGACTCTTTTCTTTTCTCTCATGAAATTGTCTATGTAAAAGAAGGAAAAAAAGAGAAACGTATATATATTGTTCGTAGAAGAAGCATTATTTAGATAATAAAATTAACAAGCAATAGTAGACATGTAACCAAAACACAATTGATGGTAGAGTTTATTTCTAAACCAAACATACAAGTGTTGACCTCAGAATTGATACCTTAAAGTATGAGACACATTTGCATCGCAATGAGCCTCAAGTTCCATCTCCACAGAATTTCTTCCTCGACTATTGTAAACCAAAGCTCCCAATTCTCGGATATCCCACATCGCGAAGAGGCAAAACAAAGCGTACCCAAGAACAATAAGAAACCATAAAACTTTAGAGAAATTGAAGAATATGTAATAGGCCAAAAGTGATAGGTGGTAGTGCATGTTGGTCAGGTTCTGAAACTAAGGAGTAATAAGGAGTTTCTTCTTTTGTGGCTATAGAGGACTCCGGCCAGCACCCTAAAACTAAATGCAGAATTTAAATGGGGTTGTGAGGGAGAGGCAACAGAGGCAAGAACGAGCACGTTTCTGTTCAAATATTAAATGATGCAGATGGGAGGGCAATAAAAGTGTAAATGAAAAGGATCGGTAAGCACTATATACACATCAGCTTTAGTTGGTGGTGACTAGAGAGGGAAGAAAATCCTTAAATATCTGGAATCGTTGAATTAGAAGATGGGAACAAAATTCTGCAGGCTATTTCATTTTCAAGTTCATTCAATAGCTTGTTAAAAAAAAAAAAACGTCTTTGAGGATTAGCTTAGCTGATAAGATTCGACTATTGGACTGTTTGTTATCAAATTTGGGTTCAGTATCTTGCAATCTTGATCTCTTGTAAACAGATGGAGTAAGAAGCGTCCATTTAAGAAATGTCCTAATGATTAAGAAATTGATCTTGAGATAACGGTAAAATAGTTTGGGAAAAGGAGAATTATCTTTTGTTATATAATACATTATTTAAGTGAAGAAAAAAAAAAAAAAAACCATGAATCTTCATTGTAGTGACATGCATTAGCTTTAAACTGAGATAACCAAAAAAAAATTTTAATTTGAAAAATATTAATTAGGACACCTTCACCCCAAGAAACCATAAACCAACTTAAGGTCGATAATAATTTCATAGATTGAATTTATTAGTAAATAAGTATCATATTGTATATCAAATTCAAATCTAAGTTTTGATATCAACATATAAAAAAATTAATTCTCTTAAATACACCATATTAATATAGAGGTTGTCCTCTTAAAATCACTTTAAAAGAACCAAATCTCAAGATTCATGAAAATTCACTTAAAACATCTAACCTGTAAAAAAAAGAAAAAAAAAAAAGAAAAAAAAGCCTGAAGGTCACTATCCAGTCTAGCTCAGAGAGAATAAAGACTTTCAAACTGGTAACAATACAAAAATAAATGAATAATTAAATAGCCTAAGTTTCAGCCAAAGAAAATGAAACGTAATCAGTAATCCAGTTCCTACACAAAATTGGTTGAGGTTATTAATTGTTATTATCTAATTTATTAAGACTATCAATTTAACTATAATTTTATTAATTT